GTAAAAAAAAATAATTGTCAGTTGCAGCCCTGCTTCTATGTTACAAACCATACCATGTGTGTCCACTTACACTGTGAGTGAATTGTGCTCCTTCTGTACCCTGGAAGACCAATGAGCTGGTCGCTAGCTGCGCCAGTCATTTTGGCAGGAGTTTCAAACAGCTCTGTAGACACAGGTCGGGCAGAGTGGGCACCGGAGAGGTTTGGCTGGGAGCGTGCTGAAGCCAGACTGTAGAAAGTCTCATCACAGTCACCACCGCCGCCCGGAGTTTTCTACAATTCAAGAGTTCAAACATTTGAATGATTTTTCAAACTACTGCCATGTAATGAGAAGAGAAGTGCTTGCAACAACCAGTAAAGTGTAACTTGTTTTAAACTAGAAAGATAATGTCCTCATCTATTACACCAAATATGAATGACAAGAAAGAGACAGCTCTGATATCCCAAATAAAGCGCATTCAACACTGTGCATTTTTGTGAAATGGCAAAACATGCAATTAGAGTGCAAGTGAGTTTCCTCCACCTTTGTCAGGGTGATGTTAATAACCTGCGTGGTCCTGCGTCGTTTGACCGATGAAGTTGGGTTTTTACAGGACGAATCAAATTCCATTCTGTGTTCTGTACCAGTCCTATGGGACGAAAAATACAATACAATATACTAGAATAAAATTCAAGATAACAGAATACGCAAGGAAGAAAGCAATTTAAAGCTTTAAAGAACCCTCTTCTTCTACACCCTCCGCTTTAAAATGTAATGTATGAAACACCAAGTCTGCCACAACAGTGGGACATACCTGTTGATCTGCTTGTTGTTTATTGGTGTGAAGTACAGGGTTTCTAGTGACTCAGCCTGCAGGCCTTGACGTTTGGATGCCAAGCGCTCCGAACTGCGAACAAGCGGTGTGCTTGATTCACCAGGTGCAGACAGTTTCCTGCAGAGTTAAGAAACAAGTGAAAGTATTAGATTACAATCATATTTTCCTACTTTGCAACTCACATTGTTTCCTTTACTTTTCTAAAGATTTATTTTGTTTGAGGAACAGGCAAAAACAGCCATATTTAGGAATGTCATTAAATCAATGCAACCTCCTTTGCTCGGTCGAGATTAATTTTAGTTATGTAGATTTATATCAAACTATTTCAATATCAACAAAAGGATTACGTTGTAAATTTATAGAGAACTGGAACAATAATAAAAAAAACTTTGGCAGACGGATTTAACGTCAGATTTGTCTTTACACACTGCCCTCAATATCCAAGGTTTCTTGATGACATAGCAAGATTGTCACAGCCTTAAAGAAAGAGAAACATTAGATGTTTTTTTACCTTGTGGTGTTCAGGGAGTCCTCCAGAGAGCTCTGGTCCAGGCTGTCAGAGCTCATGACCCTCCTCACTTCTGCTCTAGTATGAACACTTGAGTGTCCACTGGGAATCTCCAAGTAACAGGCCTCTGTTGCACTTCTTTCAGTTCCATGAATCTTATTTTGTGCTCGCAGGTTACGGTCAGCAAAGGCCAGCTAAATGTATAAAGATACAGAGATACACTTCAACATGAAATGCATGTTTTCTGTCGCTGTTCTTGGACTTAAATGTCATTTTTCTTTACTAGTAATTACAAATTAAGTGTTCCAGTTGTGTGTTCATGCCCTCTATATTCAGTTATAATGTTTCTATAAACAATACTAACCTGTGCCTCCAAACTGGCCACTGTGCTACTCAGTTTCTTCTCATTGTTTTGGACCTTCTCCAGATCCAGTTGAAGTATCTTGTTCTCCATGGTAACGCCTTTGACTTCCCGCTCTTTAACCTCCAAGGAGTTCTTGAGTTCGGCCACCTGATCTTGGCTTTCCTGCAGAAGCTGCTTCTTGCTATTGTAGAAACTCACTGCCTTCTCCATCTGTGGCATCATCAGCATAAAACACATTTTAGTATCAAGCAATGAGTACTCTTGTGAGATGGTCTGATAATGCAATCAAGTATGCAAAGGAAAAGTTTTTCCAATATCTAAATGATATGTTCAACAATACAAGTAGTGAAACTGAATTGTGTTTGTGGACACACTAACCTGTGCTTTGTAGTGTTCGGCAGCCTCTGTTTTAGCCGAGAGCTGTTCCTGCAGGTCACGCCTTTGCGTCTCAGCTTCATCAGCTTTTTCTCTCTCTTTCAATAATTTGTCTTTTTCCAATTTCAATAATACCAGCTCCTTCTGTAGCGCAGATTCCAGTTTACGAGAAGCTAGGTTCTCCCTCTCCGTAGCTTGCATGTTTTGAGACAGTCTCTCTTTTTCAACCACTGTGGCTTCAAGTTGTGTCTCAAGAACTTTCCGGCCCATTTCAGCCTGGAGTATCCGGGACATGAGTGCTTCTTTTTCCTGAACAAGAGCCTCTTTTTCCTTTAAAGTTTCAACCTGTAGCTCCTGTGCAGCGTTGGTCTCTGTTTCTACTGAGACAAGCTGTTTCTGGAGGACTTCTATTTGCCGAGAAGCTTCCTGTTGAGTTTCGTGTAACATCTGTTCTTTGGCCAGAAGTTTTTGAGTAATCGTTTCCAAGTCCCCTTTTAGATCCTGGATCTCGTGTTGCAGAAAATCTGTCTGTCTGGAGCTCTCCCCTTTAATCTCAGCCATCTGTTTCTCATTAGCTTTAGATTCCTCTTTTGTTTTTTGAACCAAGTTAGCTTGGGCAGCAACCTCTTCCCTGAGAGTGACCAGATTTTGGTCTTTATCCGATAGAAGCGTGTTGGCAGCAGACAGCTCTGTCTCGAGGATCTGAAGCTTCTCCTCAGCCCTGAGAAGAAGGCTCTCTTTCTCACTCTGTGATTCTCTTAGTTTGTGAATCTCTTCTTCACGTGAATTCATCTGTTCCTGCAGAATCTCCACTTGTTTGACTTTCTTCTGCAGACCTTGGAGGGCCTCCTTCTGTTGAGTATTTTCAAGTTGTTGTCGAGCCAACAGATCTTCCTTGGATCGTATATCCTCATTGGTCTTCTTCAATGAGGAGCCAAGAGTCTCCAGCTGCATCTTTAAAGTTAAGATCTCTTGGTGTGACAAATCTGACTGTTCTGAACTCTCAGTCTTCAGCAGCATCATCTGTTCCTCCTTAGATTGTACCTCCTCTTTTATCTTCCTAGCCTTTTCTTCAGAAGCCAAGAGAAGTTCCTTGTGATGAGCAATCTCTTCTTCCTTTTTGGAAAGCACAGTTAACTGAGTCTCCACCTGCTCCTCAGCCTTTGAGAGAGACTCACCCATATCAGCTAGTTGGTTTGTAAGACATTCCATCTCTTGCTTTAGCATGTCTGAATGTTTGGAGCCCTCTTGTTTTATTGTAGTCAGCTGTTCATCTTTAGTCCGGATCTGCTCACTCAGTCCTCGTATCTCCTCTTCACAGGTTTTCACCATGTTTTGAAATTTACAACTTGCATCTGAAATCTCCATTTCTTTCTGAATGAGCAAGTGTTCTTTGGCATGCAGCTGCTCCATTGAAGTTTTCAGAGATTCAGTCAAACTTTGAACTTGGACCTGGAGAGTTTGTATTTCATCCTGTAGTTCCTGAGACTCCTTGCAAGTTTGTGTCTTTAGGATCTCTACCTCAGCCTTTTTAGTTTGCATTTCCTCCCTCAGCTGATTAACCTCCCCCTCAAGGAGGGAAATGTGCTTTCTGAGTGCTTCAATCTGCAAAGTGCTCTCCTGTTCCTGCTTGGCCATCATGTCTTCTTTGGCTTGAACCTGGTCCTTGGCTAGCTCAAGAGAAGTGGTCACAGTTTTTATTTGTTGACTCAGATTTTCAATCTCCTGCTGTAGCCCTTCAGAGTGTGACGAGGACTCAGTCTTCAGCAGAATTCGCTGTTCCTCCTTAGCAAGAATCTCCGCATTTAGCCTCTTCACTTCATCTTGAGATGCCACCATCTGAGTCTGAAGTGCCTCCATTGCTTGGGTGCTCTGTAGTTGTTGTTCAGCAAACAGATTTTCCTTGGATTGCAAGTTTCCCTCAGCTTCCGCTAAAGTGGAACAAAGATTTTCAACCTGTTTCTTTAAATCTTGGATCCCTTGATTTAGTAGCTCCTTCTGCTCTGAGCTCTCAGTCTCCAGCAGTGTCATCTGTTCCTCTTTTGCTTGGATCTCCAGATTCATTTTCCTCACCTCTTCTTCAGAAGCTGACAGACGCTGCATCTGATGAGCATTCTCTTCTTCCTGTTTGGAAAGCACAGCTACCTGGGTGTGAACCTGCTCCTCGGCCTTTATGAGAGACTCGCCCATATCGGCAAGTTGTTTTGTGAGACATTTGATCTCTTCTTGTAGCTTGTCAGATTGTTTGGAGCCCTCTTGTTTTAAGGTGGTCAGCTGGTCATCTTTAGTCTGGATCTGCTCCCTAAGCTCTCTTATGTCCTCTTCACAGGTTTTCATCATGTTCTGAAATGTATCCTTTTCCTGAGAAATCTCTGTCTCTTTCTGAGACAACAGGTCTCCTTTAGCCTGTAACTGCTCCATTGTAGTTTTCTGAGATTCATTCAAACTTTGAACTTGGTCCCTGAGAGTTTGTATTACATTCTGTAGCCCTTCTGAGTGTGAGGAGGACTCTGTCTGTTGCAGAATTAACTTCTCCTCCTTTGCATGGATGTCTGCCGTTAGCCTCTTCACCTCATCTTGAGATGCTTTCATCTGCATCTGGAGTGTCTCAATATCCTGGGTGCGCTGCAGTTGCTGTTCAGCAAACAGATTTTCCTTGGATTGCAAGTTTCCCTCAGCTTCCGCTAAAGTGGAACAAAGATTTTCAACCTGTTTCTTTAAATCTTGGATCCCTTGATTTAGTAGCTCCTTCTGCTCTGAGCTCTCAGTCTCCAGCAGTGTCATCTGTTCCTCTTTTGTTTGGATCTCCAGATTCATTTTCCTCACCTCTTCTTCAGAAGCTGACAGACGCTGCATCTGATGAGCATTCTCTTCTTCCTGTTTGGAAAGCACAGCTACCTGGGTGTGAACCTGCTCCTCTGCCTTTATGAGAGACTCGCCCATATCGGCAAGTTGTTTTGTGAGACATTTGATCTCTTCTTGTAGCTTGTCAGATTGTTTGGAGCCCTCTTGTTTTAAGGTGGTCAGCTGGTCATCTTTAGTCTGGATCTGCTCCCTAAGCCCTCTAATGTCCTCTTCACAGGTTTTCATCATGTTCTGAAATGTATCCTTTTCCTGAGAAATCTCTGTCTCTTTCTGAGACAACAGGTCTCCTTTAGCCTGTAACTGCTCCATTGTAGTTTTCTGAGATTCATTCAAACTTTGAACTTGGTCCCTGAGAGTTTGTATTACACTCTGTAGCCCTTCTGAGTGTGAGGAGGACTCTGTCTGTTGCAGAATTAACTTCTCCTCCTTTGCATGGATGTCTGCCGTTAGCCTCTTCACCTCATCTTGAGATGCTTTCATCTGCATCTGGAGTGTCTCAATATCCTGGGTGCGCTGCAGTTGCTGTTCAGCAAACAGATTTTCCTTTGATTGCAAATTCTCCTCGGCTTTTGTTAGTGATGAACTAAGAGTCTCAAATTCTTTTTTCAAATCTTGGATCTCTTGATGTAGTTCTTCTGACTGTTCGGAACTTTGTTTTTTCAATGTGTTCATCTGTTCCTCTTTAGTCCTGATCTCCTCCTTCATGTTCTCTATCCTCTCTTCTGAAGCAGACAATTGTTGCTTCAGGAGCTCTGCCTGATGTGCACTTTCCTCCTCCTGCTTATTTAGCAAAAGCTCCTGAGCCTGAACTTGTACCTCAGTCTTTCTGAGAGACTCATTCAGACTTTCTAGTTGGCCTTTTAGACCTATTATCTCTTGCTCCAGCAATTCAGACTGCCGAGAGCTGTCATTCCTCAGAACAACAAGCTGATCATTTTTTACCTGAATCTCTTGGCTTAACCTCTGAACCTCCTCTTCACAGGTGACAATCTGTTTTTGGAGTCCCTCTCTTTGTTGGATATTTTCTTCTTGGGTTTTAGTCAGGAGGTTTTGCTTTAGTTGGATTTCCTGCTCAGCCAGTTTGAGAGTTGAGTCGAGTTCTTCCATTTTGGCTGTCAAAATCTGTATTTTATTATTAAGGATTTCTTGCTCAGAAGACTTTTCCAAAAGTAATTCAGCAAGCTTTTCCTCTTTGGCTTGAATTTCATTTTTAGATGTTTTGGTTTCATCTGTAAGAATGTCAATTTCTTCCCTAAGACCAGTAATATGTTGCTCTTTATCAGCCAGGAGAGAACTTGCAGCAGATAACTTTGTCTCAAGATCTTTAACTCTTTCCTCAGTCTGTTGAAGAAGGTCTTCCTTCTCTTTCTTAATTTCCTTTAGTTTTTCAACATCTTGTTCACAAGCAGTTATTTGCTCCTGCAGTCTTGAAATCTGTTCAATGTTCTGCTGCTCAGCTTGCTGCAGCTGAAGCTTTAAATCCTGGATCTCTTCCTGCAGGATGGCTCTCTGCTCTGTGATCTGCTTTTGCAAACGATCAAGAATTTCATCTTTTGCTTCAAGCATTTCTTCTGTTTCGGCCTTCTGCTGCTTGAGGAGATCCTTCTGTTGAGAAATTTCTTGCCGATACTCTGAAAGCTGTTGTGCTTTGGCATGAACGTCCACCTCAGCCTTTTTCAGGGAGTCAACTGTGCTCTCCAACTCACTCCTCAAACTGTTTATTTCAGTCTCAAACTTTTCTCTCTGAGTGTTAAAGAAATACAAAAGGCCATTAGGAACTATTAAATCCAGAATATATATATATATATTATTATTTTTTTAAATCAAGAAATGCTTGAACTCTAAAATTATTGTGAAATAAGTTTTCATAATTAAATCATCAGCTTTACATAGGATTGCGGACTTTACCTCGATCACTGGTCCCATGTTCTCTCCTACTTCTTCCTGGGTGGCCCTGTTTATTTCATCCTCCAAACAGGAAATCTTTCCATGGAGGATCTGGATCTGTTCTGTCAGAAGCTCCTGAATAAGGAGAATGATAGTACATTAAATACTCTTAATGCAGAATGAACACAAAGCTCATAAATGCAACTGCAAGTAGTTCTTGAGGCTGCAATCTTAACTGTGGTCTTTGTAATTGATTTACAAAGACCACAAACGGGTGCCAACACATTTTCTGATGTGAGGATATATCTACCTTTTGAGCTGTAACTTCATTGAGTTCAGACTCGAGGTGGATTTCTTTGCGTTGCCATTCCTCCTGAGTAAACGCTTGGGATTCTGACAGCCTGCCAACTTCTGCCTCATAGACAGCCAGCTGTGAACACACTGCTCTCATCTGTGTGAAAAACAGAAAGCCTCCCTCAAGATTATGTAAAAACAGTGTATTTGTATGACCTAGTTTCAGAAAAGCTTGCTGATAAAAAATGCTGTTTGTGTGTAATGGCATTACCTGGGAAGAGAGCACACCATTTTCCTCTGTCAGCTCATCCACTTTCCGCTCCATAAGAGCGGAGGTACTCTTGAAGTCTTTGTTTTGCTTCATCATCTCATTAAGACGCATCTGTAACCTAAGACAGGAAAAAGAACAGCAAAAACAATTTTTTAATGACGTTGACTTAAAATTCCTTAAAGTTATGGTATGAAATTGTGTTATTTCTGTATTTTATAGATATACAGCCCATCTCACTTATA